AAGAAATGAGCCTGATTGCCCACAATCGAATCCGTAATGATCAGACATATGACATACTTGCAGATGATTTGCGCCACAGACGCGTTCGATGCCGACCTTCCAAACGGAAACTCTACGTGCTGAATGAAACACATTCCTGGTTCCTCGCTCGTGGCCAATATCTTTCACTACGTGCCACGGATTTTAAGCACATATCGTTCTCCCGAGAGCGTTGCGGTTTCTCTCCGCTTCTCCCAGTAAATCTGTGAGAACCTTAAGCATTACTTGCCGAAGCGTGTCTCACCCACAGCGCCCCCGTTGGTTAAGCGTTCGCCGATTTAGTTGAGGATTGTGACTCCACACGGCCAGATCCGTGGACGCTCACAAACATGCTGCACATGTCTGCAACGGACCCCGAGTGGGAAGCCAGCAAACGCACCGGGCTGGTGATTGGGCCGTTATGGGTGGGAGATGACCCGGCACACCCGCCAACCGACAGGTATCTCGCCGGAGGGAAATCATGTGCCGGCCGAAGAACAGGGGGAACGGTGCGGCGTTATGTTCTATATCGAACCTGGGAACGGAGTGGCTACCTGGGAACGGGGTGGCTACCTGGGAACGGGGTGGCTACCTGGGAACGGGGTGGCCTGTAAGTGAAGAGAAGCAGGGGACAGGGCATGGATGGGGGCAGCATGTGAGACACGCGACACAATTCATGTGAGGGACTAGGCAACATAACACGCAACGGAGGTAACATTGCAGTTTGGAGGCAAAGAGGTGGTTGGTGAATGTATGCTTGCCGTGGAAATGGAACAGTTGGAACATGGCATAAGACCCAAGTAAAAGAATTTGTACCCGTGTGTGCATGAATAATCTACTTATAAAATGTGCGATTCGGTGCGCCTGGTCCAAATACACGATTACCAAAAAATACATGACGGGACAGGCAATTGCTTGAAGCCGCACTTGTGGTATAGTTTAAAGTTGCTACATTTTAGGCAAGACACTGCCCGCCACGAGATATGACCTTGAGAAGTTGAGGCATCAACATTTTGAGCTGTTCATGGAGGTCCTTCTCGTGCATGCTGTTGCTCAGAGGACATGTGCATACACGCGTCCGGCAGGTGAATACGCTGCAGTGCAGATGTCATCTGAAACAATCGGCGCGGATGGCGGAGCCACCTGGCGGCATAAAACGCCTCAGGGGTCTGAAACTAACTCCCAAAATGCCCATCGTTGAAGGATGCCGTTGGCGAACCAAAAAAGGGTCGACAACGACAGAGCGGTAGAGCCGAGTACGCTGCAACATTTCAGAGAGCCAATATATTACTGCCTTCTTTGAAAGCACCAATAGAACGTCATAGGTTTCCGTGTGGCAGCGAACACTGCCAAGACTTATGACCGCAGAAACATCGAATGCGTATAATGATAAAGAAGAGTCAGGAGTAGACGGCGCAGATTTCTAAGAATTTTGTGGATTTTTTTCGTCGTGCTTATTCCTGTAAGACAAATCTCGGTGAATGGGGATACGGGACGTTTCCAGCGTGGTGATATTTGGTTCGTATCAGGGGTTGTGGTTTCGTTTCAAGCTGATGGCTCCAGTCTCCGCCCACCTTTAGAAGATAGAGGGTCAAAGCCGAGGAGAACGCAGTTTTGTTTTACTATTTTGAGGAACGGTTAAGCGTGTCTCACTACTCACCCCCCCCCCCCTCAACTTATTTGGCGAAACCGAACCCCTGGTTTCTGCTTTCAACTCAATGAATTCAATGCACCAGAATTACAGTTTTGAGGCATTGGTTAGTGGTGTTCACTTTGTATACTTTCCTGGGCCTGAGCCACAATACTGATTTGAGCCTCATTAACGCTCTTCTGAGCCTCCTCCAAGCCCTCAACGCATATAAGCAAAAGGAAATACTAGCTCACGAGATGCAGTGTCAGAGCTGCTAAATGTATCACCACCAGTATCACCATCATATTATTTAATCACCATCACGATCACATCGACTTCATATGGGAAGTCATTCCTTAACATCGAAACAAGTTCGGGACCAGCCAGTTACATTCTTCACTATATGTTGACTCCAGGAACCCAGATCAAAGTGGCAGAAATCCAAGGAGAAATGAGGATTTGGCGCAGGTTAGGTCGACTTTATCGGCTCCCCAATTGATTTTAAAAGGTGACATCTCTGACATTAGTGATTAAAACTGCTTTGAAAAATCTCAGGCCACGCAGACAGAAGTGTTTTGATCGGACCGAGGATAGTTACCCCTGCAGTGCTTTGGCTTACCTGGATGTCCTCGGTTCACTTCCGTACGGTCTCCTCACGCCCGAGAGGGCTAGTTCACGTCAAGCAGTCCAAACAGTCCGGCCAGTGCCCCCACTACGCCAGTACCAACCGCAGCTTCGTGCTGCTCCTCTCCACGGCACCGCTCTCACGGCCCTGCCGCCCGCCCCTCTGCAGCGCCGCCACCCCATCACCCCCCGCCGCGCGCTCGGTCGTGCCGCCGTCCCGGGCGGGCGGCGTACGATGGTGCGCAGCGTCACAGCCGGAGGGGCATACCTCGGGGGAGGGGCGCCGGCGGCGTCCGCGCCACCGGGTGGCGCTGCAGGCGGTCTCGTGGCGAGACGGCGCCGGTCGGGCGCCGGTGATAACAGGCGGATGAGGGAGGAGGGGAGGGGCGAAAAGCCTGTCGGCTTCCGGATGCATGCGGCGCCACTATCATGCATAGCGCTTGTGGGGAGTGGTGACCAATGGAACCCATGCTGGAATGAGGAGCTTGCGAAGATTTCACGCCCGGTCTTTTCCGCTTTGTGGTGTTGACCATCCTGGTAATCACTGCTAGGCCTAGATGGGTCAACTTTTTTGGACAGAGATGTGAAGACATCAGGCACGTGTCAGATCCGTGATTCTGGTAAAATGAGCGCTTTATCTTTATTTTCTACAAATACGTCTCCAATACCGTAGATGACTGCAATTGTCATGTGCGATTCACGCGTTAAGGAATGTGTAAAAAAGGTTGAGGAAAGCAGCCCTGCTTTCATTTGGAACACAGAATAGAGCCTCCTGTCTTCCACGTTATGACCGTACCCATCATGACCAAGGCCATGGACCCGGACCTGAACACCTGCCGTGACGTTCAAAAACCTCCCACAATCCCAGGGAGGGCCAGAACCACGGACCCGGACCTGAACACTTGTCGTGACGCTCAAGAACCTCCCACAATCCTAGGGAGGGCCAGAAGACATGCCTGTCCACGTGGTAGCCCGGCGGCGCCAGCCCTACGAGGGCGTAACCATCCTGTCACAAGGTGCGAGAGAAAAGAGAAGGCACACTTCATGTGCACGCGGGACCGGCGAAAAAGTGGAGATTGTATCCGATCGCACCCACCCAACTACGTTCGACGACCTAAAAGCCGAGACAAGGAAAGAGAATAATTTTTAAACAGCCCTTTCCATGCAGACGAGGTATACTGCAACGCCCCATTCAATATTTGTATTTGAAACAAGCACTTTGTTTATTAAAGCTCCGTGCCCCCAGGCGTATATTTTTGTCCAGCGTCTCTTCACACTGATTGGGGGCCATTAAGATGTGTCAGACAAGGTGTGGTGTAGCAAAATCGGAGGACCTGGACAGCGAGTTCCACTGAGACGCGTGTGACGCAAGTACTTCTTCTCAATAGCCCGCACTCCACATCCAGGAACAATGTTAAGCATCAGGTGAGAGACAATGCGAATGACACAAGAAAGCAAGGGCGCTGTTGGGGTAGGCCCTGATAATCTAAAGAAGCCACGGAGCATGTCAAAACCAGCGTATATCATATGCGTTTATTGGGGTGCGCGTCCGTAACGATGAAAAATGATAACAGGAGCCATTTGTTGGTAGCGTGCATCGAAAAGCACTCCCACTGCGGGCACGATGTTAACCGTACAAAAATACCGGCTGCCAATGGCGGGGCGACCACCGCACACTCCAGCCAGGCGGACGTCAATAAAATAAATACACCTTGTCCGCAGGCCGACTTCGCACCGTAAAACATCCCACCGGAAAACAGGGGATGGCGATTGTCCCTGGCGCCCCTGCAAATATCTCCGCCCAGGAGATGGGTCGGGGGGCGGCAGACGGGGTGGATTCAATGGCACAAGATGATGCTTACAAAAATACAAATGCCACGTGAGATAGTGGGACAGTCTGCACTCCTCATGACAACATGAAGAGCAAGTTGTGGCAACAGTATCCTACGTCAGGAAAGACTCTTAGAGAGGAGCGAATTCTCGCCTCTATGAGGCGGGACATTTGTATCTGGGTGGACCCCGCCAGAGGCGCTGTCGGCGCGCGGAGGTCAGCAGCCAAAGAAATCGTCGAAATACTCAGTATTTCAGCGTAGACAGTTTGGTTTTGCAGCTTAAATATTGACGACACGTTCGCCACCGGCCATGCTGGTCGGGCACAGTCCCACACAGCAGAGGCTGGCGCGTCCTTAACAACCGTGACTGGGAGAAAATGCATTCACGGCACGTGAGCAACTGAGAGAAAACGCGCCGGCCCACCCAGCCGCTGCCTCCTAGTCCACATTTTGATTGCGTAATGGGCGGCCGCTGTGGGGAAGACGGCAGCAGCAGAAAGACGGATATGTCGAAGAGAACCAGCCACAGCCTGGCGACGCCATTACACTTGGGGCGGCACGTCGCCGGCACGCGGCGACAGAAGCTCAGAACGACGGCACCAACAACCGGACGCCACGCAGTCCAGCACGCCCAGCACACAACACGAAACAACAGGCGCCGCTGAGCACCGCGAGCTCGGGGCGGCCGCGCGGCCCGGCCCAACGGGCCATTTATGCAGCACACACTACCAACGCAGCGCCCGGGGCTGCTCCAACACAGTAACAACGGGTGGCGGCGCCCGCCGTGACACGGCGCGGTCCGTGCGCCCTTCAGCGGGGGCGCCGGACGCCCGCCAGCGGAGGCGCTGGACGCCGTGCGCCCGTCAGCGGGGGAACCGGACGCCGGACGCCGAGGGTCAGACCACGGCGCGGTTGTGCATCTCCTGCAGACGGCGCGTCGTCTCGCGAATGTAGTAGACCAGCTCCAGTAACGAGCTGGTGGCGAGCAGGCCGCCCATCGTCCGGTCCAGCTCGGCGAAGAAACTCGGCCTGCGGCGGCCAACAGCTGGGGTTAGCGCGGGGTGCGGGGGCTGAGGCTGACGGCGGGTAATGGTCGGAGATGGTTCTCGACTCGCAGTCATGATGGATTCAGCCAATCAGAAAGCGTGTCCGCCGATGAGCGCATAGGTCTCTTGGATCACCGTAATGGCTTATACGGTCCAACTTAACTCCGTAGCAGAGGTCGCAGATCACAGTTAAGATAAGATCAGTAACCTGCCCACGGCCTGGAGCCTCGGAATAAGTGACCAAGCCGGTCCAAGTGTGGTGCTCTGAAGTGGCCATGCTGTTATATAAGCTCTGGCTCATTGATCGCGGGACTAGGAGATGCCGCCGGCAGCGAGGGCAGATGGTGGGTATGCGCGGTATGTGGGCTACCTAAATCCATCCTAGACTGACTGGCCTTTTTCTGACCCCTCTCCCCCATTCGATCTGTGCCCTACCCACACCACGCTCACCAGCCCGAGCCGGCTCGCGCGGCCCCAGTGCTTCACTTCCGACCTCTCAGGGCTCGCCTGTGATCCATACACGGACATGAGACCTGTCTACCCTGCCCCGGGACTGACCTGTGCTCTGCCTACGCTGCCCGGGACTAACCTGTGCCCTGCCCACGCCACCGCGCGATTGACCTGTAACCTGCCCACGTTGCCCCGGGGGGTGACCTGTGTCCCTTCCACGCTGCCTCGAACGAGGCCTATGACCTGCCCACACTGCCCCGAGCGTGGCCTATGACCTGCCCACAGTGCCCAGTGACTGACCTGTGTCCTGGGCCATCTGCATCAACTCGTCGGCCTGCTCCCAGCAGTCAAGCCAGTTTTTGCAGGTGTGTTTGTATCTCGTTACACCGCAGCATCAGCCGGAACAGGTCGATCGGCACCGAGCACGTCGGCTCATCAGCAGACAGCGGCTCCGAGAGCATCTGCGGCCCGCACAACACCTGCAGTCAGCACCAGCGCGGGCACGCGCGCCTCTCGCGCTGTCCGACGCGGCGCGGTCACACGCCCCGCCATGCCGCTCCGTACCGCACGCCGACCCGGAATCATGCAGAAGTATGTCAGCTTTGCGCCGGTGTTGAGAGAAGCTTTATGAATTATGACCTCGGTGAAACTGCCGCCGGTGGTACGGCGCGACTGTACCCTATCACTGAAAAGGGTCGTACAAGCCGAAGTGCACTACCAAAGGCACAGGTAAAACATTGGTTAATATATCGCCTTTTCATATATATATATATATATATATATATATATATATATATATATATATATATATATATATAGAAGGAATATATAAATGGAACGCGGCTGAAGTAGTACTCCGAGTGTGACTAACGTTCCAGCAGCATTCCCAGTCATAAATCAACGCTGCAACTAAAACATAAATTCAGTTGAATGCGATAGCACTGACACATCCTCCCGGTCCGGAATTCAATGAGACGGGCGTGCCGCGGGATGAGGTAAGACGAGAGAGTGATGCCGACAGCCGAACCAGACAGCCGTCAGCGCGACATTGCAGCCACTCGGACGTGGTAACAAATGCCACCACATATGCGGGCGCTGGTCAAAAACACACCTGTCCTGATCCGTCAGCCCCGGAAGCACGGTGAGAAAAACAGCGATAATCGCCAATGGTATGCAGATATCAGCTGGGTCAGGTCAAACCAGAAGGTCAAGGGCGACAGGTCAACTGTCGAGGAACGCTCTTGAAAACCCGACGACTCAGCCTTCGTAAGTCACCGCCGGCACCGCCATCGGCGCTCCGCCGCGGCCGCGCCGCCCACCTTGAACTCAGCGACTTGGCGCTGCGCCTTCTTGTGCTCCGCCTCACGCAGCTTGAACATACGCAAGTAGATGAGGCCCTGGCAGCGCAGCAGCAGCGTCTGCAGCTTGTGGTCGGTGTGCGTTGGACGCTTGCCCTGCTTGCGGTAGGTGGCGGCTGACAGGCGCAACATGTCCCTGGGAGAGGGGCGCGTCGGGTCAGCGGCCGTGGCGCTCCTGCGGCGGCGACGCAGAGGGTCAGACGAGAGGTCACGCGTGACGTCACCGCCGCGAGGGCCGCCGCCGCCGCCGCCGCCGTTTCCCCGGCCGCATCAGCCCAGTCGCGCTCACGCCGCTAACGGAGGGTGAGGGAGAGCGAGCGCGCGTTAGCTGCGGACCCCACCGGCAGGTGGCGAGCCTGAGCCTCTCATCCAATCTAAACATGGGTACGCCACCCTGGCAGCTGACGCCAGAGCTGAGCCGGACCGCATGTGCAGTTTGTACAGTCACAAGCCTCCAACCTGGACACAACCCCACCCGCTTGGCACGCATACGGCGCCATTTGCGGAGCTAGTTGAGCGGACGGGGTAAGGGAGGGGCTGGCCATGGACGCGACTGAGCGACAGGGCTGATGCGGCCGAGCGGCGGCAGCCAGCTGACTGACTCACCCTGCGGTCCTGCGACAGAAGAGCGAAAACGTCATGCCAGACCAAAACCAGGTGCAGTCAGCCAAACAGACGCACGTGCTGACATCATTGCTAGGAACGTAACAAGGTGCCAACAGAAGTACCGCAAACCGCACGAATATGCCATGAAAAGATGCAACACTAGAGAGTCTACCTCATTTTAAGACAGAAAAGCACGAGCGAAGCGAAAAGTGAAGACATCAAAGAGTCAAACAAGGCACCCACAGTTGAATGTCGAATGCAAGAAAGATACAAGGTGCGTGGTCCACACGCAACTGCAGGAAAGGGCACACGCGCACACACATGCACGCTCCCACTCAGACCGATGCAGCACCGCGTATCCAGGCGGGCACATGCTCACATGTGCACTCGCGACGATCTGCCTCTCACGGCCGGCAGCTGCTCGGTCAGGTCAGGTCAGGCCAGGTCAAAAGCTCGGTCAGGTCAGGTCAGGTCAGATCAGAAGCTCGGTCAGGTCAGGTCAGATCAGAAGTTCGGTCGGGTCAGGTCAGGTCAAATCAGGTCAGGTCAGATCAGAAGCTCGGTCAGGTCAGGCCAGATAAGAAGCTTGGTCAGGTCAGCCCAGATCAGAAGCTCGGTCAGGTCAGGCCAGGTCAGAAGCTCGGTCAGGTCAGGTCAAATCAGAAGCTTGGTCAGGTCAAATCAGGTCAGAAGCTTGGTCAGATCAGATCAGATCAGAAGCTCGGTCAGGACGGCCAGGTGGGGCAGGTCCCCGCGCCCAACTCACTTGATGAGCTTCAGCGTATCATTCAACATGGCCGACATGGCGTCCGTGTCGTCCGAGTCCTTCTCCATGGACAGGGCCGTCAGCAGGAAGTAGATCACCGCCTGGGTGTACCTATGGGGACAGCGGATGGTCACCGAACGGTCACCGGTCACCGAACTCTCACCGAACGGTCACCGCCTGGGTGTACCTGCGGGGACAGCGGATCGTCACCGAACGGTCGCTGGTCACCGAACGGTCACTGGTCCCCGAACCCTCACCGAACGGTCACCGGTCACCGCACCGTTCCCGAAAGGTCAGTCTTCAGACCAGCGCGCCACGCCACGCTACGGAACGGCACAGACGTGCTAACCACGCTCTATCACGTAATAACTTCTATTACTGAGTGAAGTTCTTAGGCCAGCCAAACATGAAATTCGGGGACAATCCAAGCCGACGTGGCGCACCAACGGCTCCGTTGGGCGCAAGGAAATCGGTTGGCGGCGCGACATTCAGGTGCCTCTCCTTGATGAAAGTGAAGGTGACAGACGATGCTCTCAAGCATTTCGTCGCAAAAAATCAGCATAGGTTTCTAGAAAGTCTCTCAAGCCCTGGAAATAAGAAACTGGAAAAATCCGTTTCAAAAGCCAAATGTTGTTCCGGCAAAACACTCCTGCGCCGCAAACCTCCGCGCGTGCTACGAAACGCCCGCCCCCTATCTGCCTGCTGACAGCGGTAGTGGCCTCGCACCGTCCGCGACCCGCTCCCGCGGAGCCTCAGCCGCTACGCACCTGATGAGCTTGAGCGTCATGTCCGCCTCATTGTCCGCTGCCCGTTTGAGGCGTCGTGCCTGCTTCAGATACTGGTGCTGATCCCTGGTGGGGAGAGGGAGGGTCAGCACGACAGAACGCAGCCAAGCACGGGCTGCAGGCGGTGAGATCAGGGCCGTCACGGTGTACGTATAGGGGAATAAGGTATACGTAAGTCACGGTATACGTATGTCACGGCATGAGTAAGATAACCAAGCATTTCAATTTTGTATCCGGCCTATTGGATAGTGCTTGTTAAGATCAGATACAACAGCTCAAACAATACTAATCGACTTGCCATCAGTAATGAGCCACGACTGCGAGGCGGTACAGAGGTGGGTGCGTGAGCGCGTCCGCGTGCGGTGGTCTTACGCGGGTATGGCGAACGGCTGGTTGGTGTACAGGGCCGCCGGCACATTGCTGTCGAACACCTGCACGACCGTGGGGTTTGTACTGCTGTCCGCCTCGCGAACACCGGTCGGCGGGGACTCGATCTGGAATGAGGCAGTGTCAGCGTCTGGACCCACCACCAGCCGGCCGTCTCTGCTGCCTCCACACAGACCGCTGCTAACAATGTGTTGCATTGCTTGCCCTGGCAGTAATGCCTGGTCGCCTGGTACCCGATGCTTCAAAAGCGCAATAAACACCCTCGCCACTAGGATACAACTCGGCCATAAATAATTCGGCATTTTTATACAGACCCAGACTTGGCATACGGAGAAAAGCGATCTTAACACTTCCAAATGCATGCATGCCATGATGAAGACACACCAGTGCTGCACCAGGTGCCCTCGAGATGTGGGCTGAAGTCAACACACGTGCCGAAGAAAAGCGTCAGCTGGCGCGTGCCAGCCACGTGGCCATTTAGGCTGGCCCCGACACGGTCCTGTCACTGCTTATAAATACCCGACCCATTTCGTTGCCCCGTGGCCTTAAACGAGAACAAGTGGAGATCTGCTGACTGCGCTGCTGCTCTTACCCTGCTCTCCTGCTGGGCCGAGCTGGGGGTCTTGCACGGGCCCTCCGCCTGGGGCCGCGGGCAGCGCCGCTTGTTCAGTGACGTCACTGTGACGTCATCGTCCCGACTGACGTCATCGAGGGCGCGGCTGGAGCAGGACGAGTGGGAGCGGACCGAACCGTCGTCTCTGGGGCGCGCCCTGTCAGCGGGAGGGACAGGTCAGCCTCTGTGGGGCACTAACGGACGCCCGGTCAGGCTCCTCCATTGTGTGCGTTGTGTCATCAAGTCTTCGGGTCAACCATCATCGTGCGTGTAGTTCAATAACTGACAAAATGTGGACATTGGATATGGTCTAACGACACGCCAGTGAATGACAGCATCCAGGCATCCAAATCGTTAGAAATGAGATATGATAGAGCACAAGTCGCAAAAACCCAAACTTTCAATTTGTCCAGCGGCGGTGCACGTTATCAATAGGGTCTCGCACTCCGACGCAGAGGAGCGTACTTTACGCTGGGTTCGAGGAAACGGATAAATCGCTTTCTCTTAGTAATACGACAAAAACACCAAGCACGCCAGCAAGCTCCTTTGAAGATACTGTCTGACCAGGCACATCTCCTCACGTGAGCTTATTGACGGAGTCCTCGTGTCTGTGCTGTCGGGACCGCCGGCCGGACGCCTTGCGGTGCTGCTTCTGCGCGCGTGGCGACGCCGCGTCGTGCCGAGCCTCGCTGTGCTGCGTGCTGGCGCCCTCCCGAGCCTCACGCCGACGGTGGGCCGACTCGGCCCGCTCCTCGGGGCGGTGACTGGCGAACTCCGGCGGTGGGTGGCTCGGCTCGGCCCGGTAGCCCTCGCGGCGGTGACCTGAGTCATCCCGAGCCTCCTTCCTCGCGTGCTTGACCTCCGCCCGCGCCTCGCGGCTGTGGGCGGCTTCGCGAGCCTCGTCGGTCCGCGGGTGGCCCGCCTCACGAGCCTCGGTCCGCTGGCGAGCGTCCGGCGCCGTCACCAGCCAGCGGTCGATCCGACAGCGCAGCACCGGCACGCCGTGGTGGTGTGTCAGTGGCGGCAGCTGCGGCGCCGCCGGCCGCGCGCTGGCCGCCGGCGAGCTGTGCCCCTCGCTGCGCTCGCTGGAGGCGTTCGGCCGCGCGCGCGGCGTGCTCCGCTTGCCCGAGATCCGGTGCGAGAAGAGCCGGCTGAAGGTGGCCTTCTTGTTCGCGTCGCTAGTGCTCACGCCGCCCGCGTCCAGCTTGGGCGGCGAGTCCGAGTCGGAGGAGCAGCGCGCCGGAGCCGGCGCCGGCCGCTCGGCGCCGGCGTCCTGCCGCGGCCCGCGCCGGCGCCTCCGCCTCCGACGAGTCGGACGCCGTGTCCACCCGCTCGCGGGACAGGCAGTGCGGAGCGCCGTGGCCCTTGAGGCTGCCCTTGCTGGGCACGGGCCGCGCCGCGACCGGCGCCCGCTCGCACTCCGAGTCGGAGTCGCTCAGCGCCGCTGCCGGCGAGGGCTTCGGCCGAGCACGCGGCCTGCCAGGCCGGCCGGCGCGGCGGGCTCCGGCGCTGGCGCCCGGCGCCGGCCGCTGCTCCGAGCGCCGCTTCGAGCGCTCCAGTCGCTCGTCGTCGCTTTCGCTGAGAGCGGAGAGGCGCGGCCGTGGCCGCTTGCCGCCGGTGGTGGAGCGCACGCTGCCGCTGGAGGCGGCCGGCCCGGCGTGCTCCGGTGAGTCGGACGACGCCGGCGACTCCGACATGTCCATCGGCGCCGGCGCGTCCGACGGCAGCGACGGCGTCTTCACCTGCGGCGGCGACCAACGGCCTCAAACACGCGCGCACACCGGTCTGACGTCACGCGGGCGTGGCTGATGTCAGCCGCATGTGGGCGTAATACAGACGACTGAAGGGCAAATACGGACGGAAAGAAAGGTCGGGAGGATCAGCGTGAGTGCAAAAACAACGGGGCATTGCACACCTAACGGAGATTTATATTGTCTTTTTCTGGAGCACATTCAAGCGTTTCCTGTGGACGCAAGACAGCGTTAAATAAAATACCATACGGCTTGGACTCTACAGTGATGCTACAAACTTGGGGCCTTGGGGCCTGTATAAAGCTTGAGAGGGTGTTGCATGAATTCCAAGGCCAATTAGACATACATCATACAGCACGCATTGCAACCGACAGAGCCGCCACTAGATTAGGCAAGCAGCCTTCTCAAAAAACGAGCCCCATGGACAGAACGCGTAGTGGTACTAGCTATTTCATCGATAAGTTGTGCCTGTAACACCATCTCCGCTATCAATGCGATGTGCCCACGAAATCAGCTCCTCTGTTGATATTTCGTACCAGTGAGAGCAGCTTTTCCATCAATGTGTTCTGCCTGTGAGACCAGCACCTTTTTTGCTATGCAATACTTTTGAACTCAGATCCTCTGTGAAATTGTCGCACGCTTTTTCCTTTCATCTTTTTGGCGGGTAGCGCGACGCACGCCGTCGCGCCCCCTTTCAGGAGCGCCAGCAACTGCACTGGTCGTGGGACCATCTCCTCTGTCGGTGCTTTGTGCCTGTTGGCCCAACTCTTCCATCGATGCCGCACCTGTGAGACCAGCTCCTCTATGGATATGTCGGCGTCATTGTGGTCGGCTGGCTCAGCGCTGCTTGGTTCCGCCGCCTCCGTGCTGTTCGGGAAGTCATGCGGTGATAGCTGAAAAAGCCGACAGTGATCGACCCAATCACGGACGGGTCCAGAGCGCTGCATGCCACCCAATCCCCGCTGTTTTTTGCGGCACATTCCACATATGATGTCATTTAGCGTCCCAGCCTACCACGCCGATCGCAGCGAAGGGCACTGGAAACCTTGCATGCAACTTAATGCATACTTGTGTGCAGACGAGGATGAAAAACTTCAGGCTCAACACATGCCAGAGGTATACTCGCTGGGCACGCACACCTTGGCCGGCGTCAGCATCCAACAAAAAAGGATTATAGGCGCTACGTTTAATGACCAACTGTACATTGAATGGTGCGTCCAGCACTGTCTACTGCTGGAGCGTCATTATCCGACCTATCACAGGCACCGGCGCGGGTCCACACAGCGTCAGACGGATTAGGGGGCGCAACCCCCACCGCCAGCTTTCCACATCTTCAACCGAGAGGCTTCCAAGACCAGTACACAGCCGTTGTTTTGAACAAGGCATGATCCCCTGGGGAGGTCGTCATCTGCACGCCCACTTGCTAATACCGTGATCAAAGCTTCTTCACAGATCCCCGCGCACCGATCGGTGTCATCTGACCTCACTGGTCCCTAGCCCCGGCTGGGCAAGGGAGGAGGGGTTGACCCGGCGCTGCCACCCCGGGACAGGGACGCACCTTGCTGACGCTGCGGGCCGGTGTGTTCTCGAATATAGACGAGGCCGGGGTGCCGCCGGGGTCCTTGTTCATGATGGACTGCAGGCTCCATTTGCTGCGGGCGTTGGTGCTGGGGCTCTCGGATCCCTCCTGGGGAGAGGGGGAGGGGGGAGGGTGAGGCGCGCGCCGGTCAGCCGCTGGGAGCTGGAAGACAGCTGCCGCACGTCATGCAGCGACCGATGTGCCTGAGCCAGGGGGGGGGGGGGCAGGGGGGCACCGGCAGCTGTCACCTGCTGGCAGACAGCTGCCGGGCAACAACGGAGCCAGCAATAATGGTCAGCTTCTCTGGAACGGACGACGGAGGCTTGGACTAAATTGTGATGTGAGTTAGTGGCATACATTTGCATGCAATGCATTCGTGTGTGCCATGTGCTGACTTCCGCCTCTAACTAACCTTCACCCTGAAACTATGACGCCGCACCCAATGCCCGTCTCATATTGGACAAGACGGATACATTGAGTGAGGTTGTCAAATGCAGTGCAGCACAAGGCAATTGAGTAGCCAACAGAAAATCATGTGTTGTCCGAAAATGCAATATAGCGACAACGGTACCACAAACAGAGAAGACCACGTGTAATATGTACTGGCAGATATGATATCCAAGCCCAGGAAAACAAATCACAGCCCAACAATGAGACACTATGACGGCCAGACACACCCAGACAATGACTCAGACGCTGAGGCGATGTGGCTGTCGGACGCACCCGAAATGGACCACTCTGTCTGGGAAACTCAGACAACGACAGTCACAGCAGCAGCCACAGGGGAAACACACCTCGTGGGACACGGCAGTCACAGCAGCAGCCACAGGGGAAACACACCTCGTGGGACACGGCAGTCACAGCAGCAGCCACAGGAGAAACACACCTCGTGGGACACGGCAGTCACAGCAGCAGCCACAGTGGAAACACACCTCGTGGGACACGACAGTCACAGCAGCAGCCACAGGGGAAACACGCCTCGTGGGACACGGCAGTCACAGCAGCAGCCACAGGGGAAACACACCTCGTGGGACACGGCAGTCACAGCAGCAGCCACAGGGGAAACACACCTCGTGGGACACGGCAGTCACAGCAGCAGCCACAGGGGAAACACACCTCGTGGGAACACGGCAGTCACAGCAGCAGCCACAGAGGGAAACACACCTCGTGGGACACGGCAGTCACAGCAGCAGCCACAGGGGAAACACACCTCGTGGGACACGGCAGTCACAGCAGCAGCCACAGGAGAAACACACCTCGTGGGACACGGCAGTCACAGCAGCAGCCACAGGAGGAAACACACCTCGTGGGACACGGCAGTCACAGCAGCAGCCACAGGGGAAACCACCTCGTGGGACACGACAGTCACAGCAGCAGCCACAGGGGAAACACACCTCGTGGGAACGGCAGTCACAGCAGCAGCCACAGAGGAAACACACCTCGTGGGACACGGCAGTCACAGCAGCAGCCACAGGGAAACACACCTCGTGGGACACGGCAGTCACAGCAGCAGCCACAAAGAAACACACCTCGTGGGACAACGGCAGTCCACAGCAGCAGCCACAGGGGAAACACACGCTCGTGGGACACGACAGTCACAGCAGCAGCCACAGGGAAACACACCTCGTGGAACACGGCAGTCACAGCACAGCCACAGAGGAAACACACCTCGTGGGACACGACAGCCGCGACAAAGCCAACAGACTCCGGCGTGACCAGACAGCCGCCACCAATCAACGAGCGAACTGGTGACAACACACCAACAGCATCAGCTAGTGTGTTCGAGTGTCGGCCACACCGAGTACACAGACCGGTCGGGGTAAGAGGCAGACCGGCCAGGGACAGGCGGGCCGGCCGGGGGTCACGGGCGGGCCGGCCAGGGTCACAAGCGGGCCGGCCGGGGTCACGGGCGGGCCGGCCGGGGTCGCAGGCGGACCAGCCGGGGTCACAGGCGGGCCGGCCGGGGTCACGGGCGTGCGACATAGCGTGTGGGGGCGGCTCTGGACAGCACCGCCACCGAAGCACGGTGCGGGACGTGGTTCCGCCAAGAAGCCACAGAGCAATCTTTGCAAACTTGATCCAACCAAAACCTGTGGCACGCAAGGGGTTCTTGAGAAACCATACAGCTGAGCTCCGGTGAGGAGCTGCAGAGCTGGGCATCGGTGCAAGCCCTCCGATATTCCCATATAGCTGACGCCAATCCGGCACTAAAAGCATCACATGTCATCAGCAATGGCGAAAATCTGACACAAATAAAACAACTAAAATGAGCCTGGCCGTACGGCACGAGCCTAGTTGGTAGACAAGGCCTCGGCGGTTTGAAATACTGACGGCGCTCACGCCACTCGAATTCGCCACCATCCCCAGAGTCGGCGGCCCCCCTGCCGTCTGGTCAGACCCCCTCCCCCTCCACAGCATGAGGCCGGCGGCGCGCCCCGGCCGCTCGAGGCCACAAGACCTGACCAAGTCACGCCGGCCGGTGCCAGCTTGGCTGCGACCTCCCACGCCTTCGCGATGAGGCCGGCGCCGGATCGACCGCCCGCCCCCGTACGCGGCACACGTGGGATGCGCCAGGTCAGCCCAACAGTGTTGGCTCCTGGGCAACGCGCCGGTCAGGGCCAGCGGCGCGAAGTTGGACGAGTCGGGGACGAGGGGCTGGCGTGCAGCGCGAGACGGTGAGGGCGTCTAACGATGCCAGGACGCGTAAAGGGTACGTGTAGGGCGATCGTTGGCATGGAGCGGACGGAGCGGCAGAAACATTGGCATACAGGGCTGTGACATGAGACGAGTTAACACCACAGGGATTGGAAACACGCTTGAAATAGTAAGCGTTGACGTGCCGTTTCGGTACTGATAACACCAACGATGGATGCAGTTGTGTTCCGACTGTCAGAAGAGCAAATGCATCATTCCCGCCGAGAGGTTATCGTTGACCTTCGCAAATGGTACTTCGTGGGTCATTCTGAGCCCCGCCGCGGATTCAGACCATGCAACGGACTGTCGCGGCCCGGTGAGGTCGCATCATGTTGTCCCCTTGGCTAACGACTCTGGAGCACCTAGTTCTCTCCTCTGTCTGATCCGGGCTGGACCGAGTGCGACTCGGACTGGGCAGGCGGTACGTCTCCCACAGCTCCCACCTTGCCGTCGCCTGTTGAGCGGTGACTGGCAGACGGCGAGGTAGCGGCTAGCACCTCCTCGCCCGACTCTGACTCCGACTCGGCCGACTCCGAGTCCGACTCGCTGGACGAGCCGCTCGAGCCCGCCCCCGCCGCGGCCCCCGCCACCGGGGCGGAGGTTGGGGCGGGGTTGGGGGCGGCGGCCGGAGCAGGCGGCGGCGGCGGCGGCGGCGGTGGCGGTGGCGGTGGCGGAGGCGGCGGCGGCGGCGGAGGCGCCGTCGGTGTCTCGGTGGGGGGCGGGGACGAGGTCCGACTGAAACAAATGAGCGGTGTTGGTCGGGCGAGCAGACGAGCACGGCAGCCGTCTGACAAATGCCGCCATTACCCGGCAACGAGCGCCCGGCGCCCTGGAGGCAGCCCATATCGCTAAACCATCACCCGTAAGTGGTATAAACGTAGTGGGAAACATCAGTAACTTTGAACTGCTTTCACCCACTTGAAAACAAAAATCCTTCCACCGCTACATGCAGGACACTCCATAAGGAAAACATGCGCAAATATCGCAGCTATATACAATGTCATCAGTGTCGGAAGGCGATTTTCTTTCGCGCATCAACCGAGCACGTCAAGCATACATAGTCGTCAGCTTGAGAAAAGAAACCATGAAGAACTGGATCCATTGGCGGGATGGCCGTGGTACACAGCCTTCTGCAGCGTCCAAAGCGGGCGCCGGAGTGCCACCCGGAAAGCGCATTGGCAATTGCATGTTTGATGCTTCCTATTCCGGTGCGCTTTTCATAACATAGCTAACGTCGCGGACCAAGCCTCCGCTGTAGCCTTCCGCTAAACGAAACACGGCTTGCAAGACGTTCCACGACTTCCCGCAAGTGCCCCGTTGCAGCGCTGGACAAAAACAAGACGACCGAATCCCCCCGGCGGCGCCCAGCTTGACCTCCAACCGCCCGCTTATAAACCCTGATAACTACTGCGTGCCATCTTCGAAGCTGAATAGTCCGGGCCGCCGATTGCCCACCGATGGTGATCGCGCGCCAACCGGCTGCCCACCTCCAGCGAACTATGTGTCTCAGCCCGCTGTGTCCACCATCGATTCCACCAGCGCAGCGTCCACCATCGATTCGGGGCCGCGCGGCGGGGCTCGCGCTCGCTGCCTCACTGGCTCTGACGGCGCCATTGAAGCACAGCCGGTAAATTGAGTAGCATCTGCGAAGCCCTCTCGTCTGCCTCCGGTGCCGTATAAAAATGATGACGCGCCCAGAAGCCATAGTGGCTATCGGGAAAAGGTGCGGCGGTCGGCGGCGTCAAAACGGACGGAAGCAACATCACGTGAATAAGAGACAGGCTGGGAGGTAGATCGGATTCCTGCGAGGACAATCTTGTGACCGGAAGACATGTGGGTTGCTTGGTTATGAACGCCCAGGCATGCCAGGCGGGAAGACTGACGTGGACACCAGTACGAGCGGAGCGGAAACGAGTCTGTTTTTGTCTTTGCTCTAAGTTCCCGAGACACAAGCTATTTATCGGAACGTTATGCAAGATGTGATGCATCGATTTTGTACCCTTCGGTCTTAGACAATGCTGATGGGGAAGATGTTTGTAGCAGACAGGATCAGAGGCCCAGATAAGATACATGCGCCGTCCCCTTCGCATGGGCGTTCGCATGGGCGGACACACCATCCCAAACTGTAGCTGTGATTACCAGTTCCACCGAAACGACTTCGGATGGAAGGATGGAAGCCACACCGCCGGCAGCCACCACCCAGACGACTTCGGATGGAGGGATGGAAGCCAGACCGCCGGCAGACACCACCGAGACGACTTCGGATGGAAGGATGGAGGCCAGACCGCCGGCAGACACCACCGAGACGACTTCGGATGGAAGGATGGAAACCAGACCGCCGGCAGACACCACCGAGACGAGTTCGGATGGAGGGATGGAGGCCAGACCGCCGGCAGACACCACCGAGACGAGTTCGGATGGAGGCATGGAAGCCACACCGCCGGCAGACACCACCGAGACGAGTTCGGATGGAGGCATGGAAGCCACACCGCCGGCAGACACCACCGAGACGAGTTCGGATGGAGGCATGGAAGCCAGACCTCCCGCAGCTAGCCCGGCGATCGACACTGCCACACATTGATCACCGCCACACATTGATCACCGCCACACACTGATCACCGCCTATCCTCGTCCGCGGCTGGCGAACAGGCCTCACAAACCCGAGCAAGCCCGGCGTGCTTCCCTGCTGGAAAGCCAACGCCATAGCCGCTTGGTTCTGCGAGCGACTAAAATGTTCAAGTTCGTTTCGCCCACGACAATCCGGCTACATTGGCCTGAGGGCACGCGTGGGCGCGGCTCCGCGCCGACACTCAGCAGTCAGGATTGGCGGAACCGTCGCTTCAGACTTCCGCCGGGCGTCAGAGGTTATATGTAAATACGTCACTGGCTATCACTGGTTACTGGTGCTCAGCAGGCGCTGCTAATGTCTGCTGTCTGCTCACCACATAACATTCCTGGACATCACTGGTTGTCACAGGTCACTGCTAGTCATAGCCTGGTCGTAACCTATCATCGACGGACGTCGTACACATCACCTCAAATCGTTACACGCCGCTGTTTATCAGCGCACAAGACCAATGGACAAAGCTCACCATCAACGGACGTAATGCACGCCATTGACCATCAATAAACAGCATCAATGAGCACCGTCACTCGTCACCGCACGTCAACGCACGCTTCCGGTCCTCACACAGCGGCAATCGTTATCCCCTTTCACCAAGCATCGCTGCCCCGCTACTAGGCGTTACCATATGTCATTGTTGGCCGCACAGCGTAACCAGACGTCACTGATCACCACAAGGCCTAACCAGACGCCAATGGGCGTGACACAGCATCCCCAGACGTCACCGATCGTCATTGGCAGTGACAAGGCGCGGTCAGATGTCACTGGGAGTGAAAGGCATCAACGGGCGTCATCGGACCTCACTGAACGCAGCCAGGCGTCACTGAGTGCCATTAGGCGTAAACACATCACTGGTCGTCACTGGGCGTGACAGGACGTATGCACGCATCACTCAGCGTGACGGGGCGTAACCAGACGTCACTGGGCGTCACGACTGGGACCGATCGATGCGGCAAATATGGCGCGGGCCCCAAGCCGGCAAAAAACCGATCGCCGGCCACCAGGTGCCCGCGGCGATGTCGTGTAAGCGCGGGCCGAGGGCGGTCGAGGAGCCGCGGACGTCCCCACAACCAGACGCACTGAGAGCGCAGCGTAGGTTCTCGCACTGCGCCGGGGAAGCTAGCGGATGGGGTGAGCGCAATCATTAGGAAGCCCACACAAACGAGCCGCGGTGGTGAAGAAATAATGACGTTTGGTAGGGGTGGGGACATCATCTAATGTGGAAAAGTACAACATGTGCGTTCCAGCCGTTGAAAGTCGGACGTCTTTTCCGTCAACACCGCGGCTCCAACGCAGGCTGGGTCTGCCCACAACACAAGAGGAGAACTTCCCGACAGCCGCCGGCAGCCGGGACAAAGGCAGCTCTCCTGCCGGGACGGCAGGGGATGCCGTAAAACTTCCGTCCACTCGCCGAGCAAGCGTCTGCAAATGCTCTGCTGCCGCTGGCTGTCGCGTGAGCGCCTTGCGGGCCCGTGACGGGGGCGACGACCCCGCGCCGTCTCCCGCGCCCGCCGACCGACGCCCCGGCTATGGAGGACCGACACCCCGCCGTGAACGCCTGCCCGCGCGCCCGACGGCTCCCCGGAGGCTCGTGCCACGCAGTACACGACGAGTGCCGCTTCGACGCACGGGGTCGACTCGCGGCGAGAGGGCCGGCTCGGCTCGACTCGTGGCGAGAGGGACGGCTCGGCTCGGATCGTCACGAGAGGGACGGCTCGGCTCGACTCGTCACGATAGGGACGGCTCGGCTTGGCTCGTCACGAGAGGGACGGCTCGGCTCGGCTCGTCACGAGAGGGACGGCTCGGCTCGGATCGTCACGAGAGGGACGGCTCGGCTCGGATCGTCACGAGAGGGACGGCACGGCTCGACTCGTCAAGAGAGGGACGGCTCGGCTCGGCTCGTCACGAGAGGGACGGCTCGGCTCGAATCGTCACGAGAGGGACGGCTCGGCTCGGATCGTCACGAGAGGGACGGCTCGGCTCGGATCGTTCAGAGAGGGACGGCTCGGCTCGACTCGTCACGAGAGGGACGGCTCGGCTCAGATCGTCACGAGAGGGACGGCTCGGCTCGGATCGTCACGAGAGGGACAGCTCGGCTCGGCTCGTCACGAGAGGGACGGCTCGGCTCGGCTCGTCACGAGAGGGACGGCTCGGCTCGGCTCGTCACGAGAGGGACGGCTCGGCTCGGCTCGTCACGAGAGGGACGGCTCGGCTCGGATCGTCACCAGAGGGACGGTTCGGCTCGACTCGTCACCAGAGGGACGGCTTGGCTCGGATCGTCGCGAGAGGGACGGCTCGGCTCGACTCGTCACGATAGGGACGGCTCGGCTCGGATAGTCATGAGAGGGACGGCTCGGCTCGACTCGTCACCAGAGGGACGGCTCGGCTCGGATCGTCACGAGAGGGACGGCTTAGCTCGACTCATCACGAGAGGGACGGCTTGGCTCGGATCGTCAAGAGAGGGACGGCTCGGCTCGACTCGTCACGATAGGGACGGCTCGGCTCGGATAGTCATGAGAGGGACGGCTCGGCTCGACTCGTCACCAGAGGGACGGCTCGGCTCGGATCGTCACGAGAGGGACGGCTTAGCTCGAATCGTCACGAGAGGGACGGCTCGGCTCGGATCGTCACGAGAGGAACGGCTCGGCTCGGCTCGTCACGAGAGGGACGGCTCGGCTCGACTCGTCACGAGAGGAACGGCTCAGCTCAGATCGTCACGAGAGGGACGGCTTGGCTCGGATCGTCACGAGAGGGACGGCTCGGCTCGGCTCGCCACGAGAGGGACGGCTCGGCTCGGATCGTCACGAGAGGGACGGCTCGGCTCGGCTCGTCACGAGAGGGACGGCTCGGCTCGACTCGACTCGTCCCGAGAGGGACGGCTCGGCTCGGCTCGGCTCGTCACGAGAGGGACGGCTCGGCTCGGATCGTCACGAGAGGGACAGCTCGGCTCGGATCGTCACGAGAGGGACGGCTCGGCTCGGATCGTCACGAGAGGGACGGCTCGGCTCGGATCGTCACGAGAGGGACGGCTCGGCTCGGCTCGTCACGAGAGGGACGGCTCGGCTCAGATCGTCACGAGAGGGACGGCTCGGCTCGGCTCGTCACGAGAGGGACGGCTCAGCTCGGCTCGTCACGAGAGGGACGGCTCGGCTCGGCTCGTCACGAGAGGGACGGCTCGGCTCGGATTGTCACGAGAGGGACGGCTCGGCTCAGATCGTCACGAGAGGGACGGCTCGGCTCGGATCGTCACGAGAGGGACGGCTCGGCTCGGCTCGTCACGAGAGGGACGGCTCGGCTCGGCTCGGATCGTCACGAGAGGGAGGGCTCGGCTCGGCTCGTCAGGAGAGGGACGGCTCGGCTCGGCTCGTCACGAGAGGGACGGCTCGGCTCGGCTCGTCACCAAAGGGACGGCTCGGCTCGACTCGTCACCAGAGGGACGGCTTGGCTCGGATCGTCACGAGAGGGACGGCTCGGCTCGACTCGTCACGATAGGGACGACTCGGCTCGGATAGTCATGAGAGGGACGGCTCGGCTCGGCTCGTCACCGAGAGGGACGGCTCGGCTCGGCTCGTCACCGATAGGGACGGCTCGGCTCGGCTCGGATCGTCGCGAGAGGGACGGCTCGGCTCGACTCGTCACGATAGGGACGACTCGGCTCGGATCGTCACGAGAGGGACGGCTTGGCTCGGCTCGTCACCAGAGGGACGGCTCGGCTCGGCTCGTCACGAGAGGGACGGCTCGGCTCGGCTCGTCACGAGAGGGACATTCGCAGCGCGGGCCACTGAGCCGGACGTGAGTCAGTCCGTACAGTGGCCGGCCGCCCACGCGCCGCCGCGTCAACAAATGACAGCCAACGACAGGACTATTTTCGGCACACGCGATAGCTGAGGTCGCGCATTAACTTTCGGTTCATGTTCGTTCCAGGAAGGATAATAAGCACACGTGCTCCTATGCTGAGAACAATGGACGACAAAGGCTGCAACGTTGGCGAACGCAATTAACACCCTGGTGCCACTGCAGAAAGACTGGTATTAACAATGTGGAGAGATTTGGCGACCACGGCTGCCTGAATCCACGAACTATGCATCCCCATAGCGCATTACGCGTGTTATCTGCTCTACATTCTGGTGTCCAGAAAGCATTTATGCTTGACCCACTGTACGGACAACGGTGCCAAAAGGGCCAAACTCAAGATCTGTGATGGGCCCAAGACCTCAGCAGCTACACCAATCAACTGGTTCTAGGTTCCAAGTTCCAGATGGACGCTGGGTCTGGTGGCGAGCACGACGGGCGGTAAGCACGTGACTACGAGCTGTAGGACACTAGATAGCGAGTCAAGCCTTTCAGCCCCACCTACGAGCGGTGAACTGTGCGCAGTGAGAAGTGGGCAGTGGACAGTGAGTCGAGGACAGGTGGGCAGTGAGCCGCGAGCCAAAAGACGCGAGCTACGAGCCATGAGCCACACGTCATAAACCGTGAGCTGTGAGATACGAGCTGTGAGTCATAAGTCACAAGTCGTGAGTCATGAGCCACACGTCATGAGTCGTGAGCTGTGATGTATGAGCTGTGAGTCATAAGTCACAAGTCGTGAGTCATGAACCACACGTCATGAACCGTGAACTGTAATATATGAGCTGTGAGTCATAAGCCGCAAGTCGTGAGCCATGAGCTGCGAGCCGTGAGCCGTGAGCGGAGCTCTGCGGGCTGTGCAGCCACGCTCGGCGTCCGCAAACGCTGCTGGCAGCCGGGGAGTAGACGAGACGGGTCGGTCGATCGGCGGCGCCCTGGCAAAGGTCGCGCCGAGTGGGCGGCACAATCAGGCGGACAGCGGACACGACGATCAGTCAGACAGCGGGCCGGATCCGCCGCCGTCCGCGGGCCGGACAGTGGAGTGGGCGGCACAATCAGGCGGACAGCGGACACGACAATCAGTCAGACAGCGGGCCGGATCCACCGGCGTCCGCGGGCCGGACAGTGAGCCGAACGGAGGACAGGAAAGCAAATGGGATAATCTGATGGACAGCCGGTAATACAGGCGGACGAAACAGTCAGGTGGACAGCGGTCACGGAAGCGGGACGAATATTCAGAGGAAAGTGAGCAGCACAGCGGCCCGGACAGCGGACCAGACAGCGGCCGGGACAGCGGACCAGACAGTGGAACAGACAATGGCCCGGACAGCGGACGAGACAGTGGATTGAACAGCGGACCAGACAGCGGTCCAGACAGTGGCCCGGACAGCGGACCAGACAGCGGACGAGACAGCGGACCGGGCGGCAGACCAGACAGCGGACCAGACACCGGACTGGACAGCGGAACCAGACAGTGGACCAGACAGTGGACCGGGCAGTGGACCAGACAGCGGACCAGACAGCGAAGCGCTGGCTGATTCCTGCTCAGGACATGGACTGGTTGCAGTGCGTGGGCTACGGCAGATTCAGGGTGTGGGAGGCCTCAGTGGCTCGGGACAAATGGTAAGAAGCGGGGGACGTGATGTGGCTTGTTGGTCGCTTGTCTCCCCATACAGGAGGATGGAAATCACAGAAACGCTTCAAAGCGAAGATCAAGTGAACCTCAACCGATGTCTTTCACTACACTGCAAATACAGCTGAAGGCGATAAGAGCCCCGCACGGGTCAGCATTTCACATATTGCACGAAATGAAGCCAACCGACAAAGCTATGCGTGACGACGGAGCTATTATAACAGTTTTTGTTGCCACAGGATGAGCGCGACTTACGATGTTCATTTACGTAGAAAACACGACAGCACCAATATACAGCAGGAGAAAGTCGGAGAGAGATGCCCAGCGAGATGACGTCACTGGCAAAGGGAGCAGCGGGAATGTCACTGGCAGGGGGAAGGCTTTAGCGACAGTTCATAGTGTCACCATTTGTCCGGACCGGACTATGCCAGCGCATCGGCCGCACAGCGCGATGGAAGGCCGCAGTCGCGAAATGACACCTCCTCGTCCACCGGCTTACTACCGACGCACAACGCGACAACAGACGAAAATGGGTCTACGGGACATGCGTCTTCATTCTAGGTTAATGTGCATACCAGCCGATGGGAGCAGGGCGGCCCTGGATCGGACGGCATAGATGAAAGTCCCGCTCTGATTGGCCACACGTCCTTCAGGGCGCGCCGTCCGACACCAGAGCACCAGTCAGCAAATCTCTGAGTTGGCAGTGGGGCGTGGCGGGCCCCGAGGTCCGGACGCCACGGGGCTGACAATCGCCCACCGCCCGCGACCCTGCCGCTGACCATCGGTCTACACCATCGGTCCGCACCATCGGTCCGCACCATCGGTCTGCACCATCGGTCTACACCATCGGTCCGCGGAGCCGCCCGCATGGCCGGGACCAGCTCCAGCTGCATCCGACCCGTGCCTCGCGCTCTTCCAATGCCAGCCCCGCGCGCGTTTGGGGCGGCCGTGCCAGCCCGGCGGTCCCACGTGCTCACAACAGCAGAATGGCTGATGAAACGCTCCGGCCGACTGGCGGCGCGGACTAGCTTTGTCTTGGCTCACGCCCAACGGTCTTCGTCGCCGTGAAGAAACGCCGGCAAATAAGATCACGACGAGGACTTTTTTGGAATTGCTGGTCGCGTGCCGTGGTGCCTGGTGCCGTGTCGAGCACAAACTGTCAGCTGTGTGAGGGAGTGCCTGGCACAAGCGGTCGCTACACGTTCGCAGTGTCCAGGCACAGATGAAATATGCAACGCTCATGACCTTGTCCCAACAATGCACTGTGGTGCACGTACTTTAATGGCGACGCCCGACAAATGTCGCTGAAACCCGGAGCGACACGACTGCATACAACAAGCGAAAACGCACTGAATAATTGAGGAATCCGTTGCATACCAAAGTCGGTTATTGCGCGCTGACAACTTGAAATGGTGTGAGGCGAAACTGACGCCACATACGTGTTCGCCCGCGCTGGGTTGCGTCCTGGCATTCTAGGCAGTCGGCATTTTTCCATCACTCACGTTGGGGCCGCTCCAGTCGTTCGTCAAAGCTGGCCTCATTCAGTATATTACGGCGGCGTCAAGCCTGGGGTGTAATGACGGGGACTTGACCGTTGTTCTAAGCCCGGGGAAGCCCCACACAGAGCCATCACAGGTCGCGATGTTCGAGGTCTAAACCAGGCTCGCCAGAATTGTTCTACGGATCCTGAATACACAACTGCCGTTGAGAACTCGGAGAGAGCTGGACCCTGCCTGGGCCTCAGCTATACATAGATGACAATTGTTAATAGCCAGGTATCTACGGATAACAGGCCCAGGATGTAAGAGATAGAATAGCCCACACCTACAACTTCTCCACCAACCTCCCGACCATTCCAGCCCTAAGTAGTCTCCATGTACTTCCCTCTTAATAGCCCCGCCGCCGCAATAAATTCCAGGCGAACTTTGCGCGGAGAGCGTCGTCCTCACAGGCGCCGGGAAGTTAACTGGGAAACATCCCATAGTTAGTTCTCTGATTAGGTAAGTTTTCGGCCGGGACGGACCAGCCCCGGGCACTTCCAAGTACCTGGACTTAGCCTTATCCCACTCCTGGGACGGAGTTGCACATAGTTGCAGACTGCAACAGTGGCCGTCTTTGGGCCTGGATTCAAGGCCGGCCTACAGCCCCGGGCGGGCACAAGTCATCAGCCGCCACGGTAACCGCAGGTCGAGAAAAGACGCAACTGCCGCGGCTCCGTGTCCCGGGACCGGCGGACCAGTGGCCTCTGACCTGCGGTAGCTGGACCTCGGCCGCAGCTCCGTGCCCCGAGGACTGGCGGACCAGTGGCCCCTGACCTGCGGTAGCTGGACCTCGGTCACAGCGCCGTGCCCCGGGACCGGCGGACCAGTGGCCCCTGACCTGCGGTAGCTGGACCTCGGCCGCAGCGCCGTGCCCCGGGACCGGCGGACCAGTGGCCTCTGACCTGCGGTAGCCAGACCTCAGCCGCAGCTCCGTGCCCCGGGACCGGCGGACCAGTGGCCTCTGACCTGCGGTAGCTGGACCTCTGCGGCTCGACGCTGACCGCGGCGCTCTTGCGGGGCGGCTCCTCGTCGCTGTCGTCCGACAGTGTCAAGTCGTCCGACAGGGATCTGAAACACAACACCAGCGGCTGGTACGGTTCAGAAATGATAGAGAAAACGCCGCGTGGGACTAAGCGGCACGGAATCCAGAGCGCGCAGCTCTTCAGTGGACTTTACTATCTAGGCGGGATATAAAATGCTTCGGATAGTGCCAACACATCCGGCAGACTCCCGTCTTACTAATCCAACAGTCATGAGTATGTTGAAACAATCACAGGATCAGCTTCCGTGCAATGCCGGACAGTGAGCGGCCGCCCACTGTCCACCGCTTCTTCTGCCCGTCGACAGAGCGCAGAGTCGGACCTTGACTGTGCGCGGCCCGGCTCCGTGGCGGCCGGCCCTGCCATCGGCCCTGACCCAGTGAGAGGTGCCGGCGGGCGGCCGGCCGGCGGCAGGCGCGGCCGGCGCGCCGCGGCCGCCCCAATGCCAGACACCAACTCCCGTGCCGAGACGGCCGGCAGGCTGCCCTCCGGAGACGGCCGGCACCACGCTCGATGCGGTCCGAACGTGGGGCGAGCAGCCCCGACCCACCCTGGCCGGCGGGCACTGCACAGCAGTTGGAGCCCATCGTGGCAGCGTCTCCGGGGTCGCGAAAGCACAACAGGCGGACGCCGCTGGACAGAGAGGTCAAGCCGCGTCCGTTCATGTTACACATTTCGCCGACCGGGGCTGAAGAGACGGAGCTGATTTGTCTCGTGCCACCGTTTACCGGTGTCGCCTGTACCCGTCTCCCTCCGTACGTTGATGGCACCATGTCCGGACACGCCGATGTTCGGCCCGAGACGATGGACGGCGGGCGGTGTTGTGAGCCGCGGCGGGAGCGAGACACTCACGGTTTGGTGCTGGCCGGTACGGCGGCTGGCGGGACGCGCCACCGCCGCTCGTCCAGCCGCGGCTGGCTGCTCTCCCCGGAAGGCGCTGAAATCACGGTTCAGGTCAGGTCAGGTCAGGTCAACATGCCCCGCAGCTGGGTGCCCCTCGGAGGTGGCTGGAACCAAAAGTCCGGTTAAGTTAAAGCGCTGCTGGGACGTTCGCCCTCGATGGGGCGTTTTCGCTCGATGGGATGCTCACTCGGGCGAGTGAAATCAGGTCCACTTCCTCTCGGTGACCTCTTACGAACGCCAGTTTCGGCCAGGTGGCACACCCACAGCTGAAAACCCTTCACCAGCGGCACAGCAAATGCCAGTCAGGTCCGATCAGGCGACGACGGAACTAATCAGGTAGTGTCGGGTCAGGTCAGGCCGGGTCGGATCGGGTCGGGTCGGATCGGGTCGGGTCGGATCCGGGTCGGATTGGGTCGGGTCGGATCGGGTCGGGTCGGGTCGGGTCAGATCGGGCCGGGTCGGTCAGGTCGGGCCGGGTCGGGTCAGGTCGGGTCGTGTCGGGTAAGGTCGGGTCGGGTCGGGTCCACAGAGCCATGTTTCAGCGGATGAGCTCCAGTGCTGCTGGCGTCCAGGGAATTTGTAACGGTCTCTGAAAATAACGCCCTGATTACCTTTCAACTATTTGCTTTTTTGGTTACATACCCCGGTAAACTAAACAGGCTTAATGAACGTTAAACGGAGGTTCCATCATCAAACAACGACTTCGCCTGTTTCCATAAGATAATTGTCTAACTTCTGATCTCACTTATAAAGTCAGCGTTCGTCAAATTGCCCTTGAGCCTCACATTATCTTTCATTAGCACGCTGACAACGATCTTTGATCAGTCCCATATTGATCAAACCAGTATTAAACTTAACCGTCGGTCCCACTCCCACATCTAAAACTGCCTTTGAACCACTGGCCGAGCAAGGGTAGGTGATAGTCACCTGCTTACCATTTTGCGGCCCAATAGCGCCCAGATAAAAACTCGACTCAGGTCATGTCAGCTTTCACAAGGGCTGACACGCACCCCGAAGGAATCAGGTTATGTCAACTTTCACAAGAGGTTAAGGCTGCACCCCTTGGAGACGCCGTGTGTCCGCCGTTTTGCTCAGTTTGTGAAACGGATCATTTCGAAACTCGAACGCCGCGCGGGTTTCGCCAGACGCAGGCATAAAGTATGCGGAGATCAGGCGAGTGTCGTGACCCCAGGGGATAAGGCGCGGTTCGAACAAACACCCGAGCCGGCAGCAGAACGCGCCGCCGCTCGCACCGCCGCGGCCCCCACGCGGCTGCACCACCCCGGCGTGACTCGGGAGACCATGACTCGTGACTCGGCGGCGGCGGGCCGACTCCAACCATGACGGCCAGCCCGGCCGGGAGGCGGCGGACGGCGGCGGACGTGACAGATAGCATCGCAGGGCGGCCAGCCGGCCGGGAGGCGGCGGCCGGGAGGCGGCGGACGTGACAGATAGCATCGCAGGGCGGCCAGCCGGCCGGGAGGCGGCGGCCGGGAGGCGGCGGACGGCGGCGGACGTGACAGCCAGCATCGCAGGGCGGCCAGCCGGCCGGGAGGCGGCGGCGGACGGCGGACGGCGGACGTGACAGATAGCATCGCAGGGCGGCCAGCCGTCCGGGAGGCGGCGGCGGACGGCGGACGTGACAGACAGCATCGCAGGGCGGCCAGCCGGCCGGGAGGCGGCGGACGGCGGCGGACGTGACAGATAGCATCGCAGGGCGGCCAGCCGGCCGGCGCGCAGCGGGACACCGCATCTGCAGCTGGCTCGCCCGCGCCGCTGCAGCCGCCGGGCCGCCCCGGTCGGCGCCGCTGAGCTGTGTTTACATGTGATGGCTCAGACACCGAGCGCTAGACGCGCAGATAACGTAGCTGGAGAGGTCATTGGGTGCTTTTAATCGAAGACGTCCAATGCTTGCCCCGCCGCCTGCTATGCCCCGTTTGCTACTTAGTATGGTCTTTTCAGCCCTGTGAGGTCGAGCCGGGCGGTTTACTAACGTGATATTCATTACCAACCGACCATCTGTTTACCCTGTGCTACGGCCATTGAGCATGTCCGCGAAGTTTCGCTCACAGTGTCTGACGCCAGCATCCGTCAACCACGGCCTTCGGGGTCGCCGTTCATTGTCGGCCCTTCGTCGAATCCCCCGGCCTGCCTCCCCTGTGGCGCGTCCTGACCGCGCGACACGCCGACACGCGCACGGCACACTGTGCCTGCAGCGAGAACGGACCACGAGGCGGGCTGCAGCACGTCAGCCAGAGGGGGGGGGGGGGGGGGACATGTCGACACAGCTTGACTCACGGCAGAAGTGTAGCAGCCCGAGCGATGCCGGCGATAGCTCAGAGAGCCGCCGCCACGCTGCAGACCATGTGCGGAGAAGGAAGAGCGAGGCCACGCGCCCATGAGCAACAGCATCACACACAGAAGGCAGGATACATGGCAAAGGCGAAGCAACAAGGACAATGGGTGTTAGCAGCTGAGTTACATGGTCTTATTCAATGGCTGGCGGACTGTGGCGAGCCATCGCATCGCAATCCGTGGTGGACGGAAAGCGACGCCTCGCAAAGAACAATCAACTAATGCTGACGATGACTCGGGCATGAGTGCGCGTTGGCTGCCGTGGTCATGTGGCGCTCGCGACGGGCACCGGCCGGGGATCACGTACCTTGTTCATCGGCTGGCCGGTGAAGGGGAGTGACCGGGGGCTCATCCTGCAACGCGACAACACAGTCAACACGGGAAGGGCCACTGCGCACAACAACCGGCTGGACGCCGGGGGTCCACGTGTCACTGACACACTGTGGCTGGGAGTCCATGTATGTCATTGACACGCTGCAACCGGGGGTCCATGTGTGTCACTGACACACCGCAGCCGAGAATAACTGACACACACGAAACTCCGTGTGTCCATGTGTGTTACTGACACACCACGGCCGGGGGCCATGTGTGTCACTGACACGCTGCAGCCGGAGGTCTGGCGTGTCACTGACACACCGCATGGGCCGTCCGACTGCGCATCAGTCACTAGCGCGTGGCGTCGTCTAACTGGGCACCACGCTCACCGACTTACTGCACGCACCGTCTGACTGTGCATCAGTCACGACACGTCACGTCTGACCACGCGGCAAGGTCACAGCACGTGACCTCTTGACACGCCGCCGGGACACGGGCGCCAAACTATCATGTTTCTCGCAAAGTGCGTTCGGTGCGAGGACTCCATGGGTATTACGCGATGTAATGCCCTGAGTCAAATGCACACATGTCGCAACGTAACAAAGATCCCATAGAACCTGGTCACAGTCCTGGCCTAAACTAAATCATTCAGCCTCCTCAAACTTTAAAAACTAAAACACAACAATGGTAAGCAGCCCAAAGTAATCCACTTTGATTGCTGAAGTGAATACCAAAGTGGGGAATGTGCAATGACAGTTAACCATAAACCTGTACTGTTCCACAATCGTTTACATCATTTCTGGCGGCGGCCACCATTAAACTAATAACACCTACATGTCCTCAGCGGGATTGAACACAGGCGTCGTCGACCTGTTCACTAGCGGGCCCGAGTCACCTCCAGTCGAATCAGGCCCTCAGCTCGAACCACGAAAAGCACGTGGCACGTTTCTCACCCTCCTCCGGCGTCTCTGAGTGTTTGTCCCTCTGTCTCTCCCACGTATGGATCAATACCGCGGATTTCCAAGCGCTCCAGAAGCCCTATTCCGGGGTGACGGGTGCGCCGCGCCCCGCTCACCGGCACAGTTCGCGCAGCCGCCGCCGGAGGGCAGCACCACCGCGCACGCCGCCCCCGCCCGCAGCCGACCGTCGCGTCGCGGGAGCGGGGCCCGGTGGCATTAATTAACGGCCTAGGTCGATGCAGACCTCGGTGCTCAACTGTACACCCAACTGTTGATTGATTTCAGGCCCGGAACTGGGCGAGGACACGGATGGGCAGGCTTTGGCTCGCTGACTCACGGACCGAGAGCAGGTAGGGCTGGCGAGCAAGTCTAGCCAACTACGCATTACATACCATACAAGTTGGAAAGGATCCCAAAAATAGGGCAGCTCTGTACGAAACTTTCATCGCAGTGTTGAGTGATATAGGCCTTGCCTTGAATTGGAAACTGCAACGACATGCCACCCTGCTTCACATTTCACGACAGTGACCAGTGGCCATTTAGTACATATGAATACATTACTGACTCCTTCTAAAGCATCTGAGTACAGGATTCCATAACCCTTCAACAGCTCTCGTGACCAGCACACCTGATGACCTCTCCCAGCCGCCAAAACAGCCCGGAATGGCAGCAGCTATCAACAAAATCACGATGATTAACTTCGGCTGTGCAGTTGCAGGGCCACGTGACACCGCTTACCAGGCGGTCTGCACAACCCGCAGGCGCGCCACGACATCGGCAAGGCCTTTGATAGCGTGCTGCATGACTTGCTGCGGGATTGGAGCCGAGATAGCATGCAGCTCTGAAGTCCCGCGGCGGGGAGCCAGGTCCGGGGCCAGCTCAAACAGACCGTGAGGGGGACGATCTCGTTCCGCGTTCGTGATGCAAGGAGTCGTGCAGGGCTCACTACTGGGGCCTGTGCTGTAGCCAATGGTTGGCCCCAGCGCGCCCCACCTGCAGCCCATAACGGAGCCTAGCAGCCCCTCCATCACTTGCTGCTGGAGACGCCAGCATGCGCAACACACATGGGCGGGCGGGCGCCATCCCGTTTTTACGCGGCGCTGCCTCCCTAGCCGTGGGGGAGGCGACAGCGGTCCGAACAGCTGAGCATGGGGACGGTGATAAATCGCTCTTCATCCGCTCCCTCGACACCCATGATCAGGTGAGACAACCAACGGCCACGCCCGTGCCCCAAGCTCCCAGGCCTAAGCCATTCCGACTCCGCCGAAAAACGAGTGCGGCTGGCTTCAGCGGCACTCCCTTCAACCCTGTGACGTCACCGGGACGAACCGTGACGTCACAGGGCGCTATGGCCGGAGAGGCGTGACCGCGGCGCGGGACGCAGTTTCAGGGCCGGCGCGGTGTAGCACGGCCGTCAGGCCAGCCAGGTCCAGTCTGGACGTCGGGAGGAGGACAATCAAACAGTGCGAGCGTTTCAAAGCGAACCTCCTTTTCTTATGGCGGGCCGTTACGCTGAATACATCTCCGTCAGTTTAAGCGCGTGATAAGATCCCACTTTTGAATGCCAGCCTTCATAAGCCCCGCGGCCGGCGATGTGCCTGGCCTCACACCAATCTCGTACAATCGCATCGCAATACCAAGAGGGCTCCTTCCTTGCCACAAAACGTCGCGACCCTCCAGCGCACCGGAGCGCATTTCCGGGTCACGCGATGTAGCGTGTTTATCCTTGTCTCCCCCCGTCCGTTTTACGGTCCCGTCAACCATACAACGACCGGGCACGACCCGAACGGTGCACGCGCTTTGTGCACGTGTGGCCTTAGACGTACGCTTCGCCGCCGCTTCGCACACACATTTGTGCACACTTGCAGCACCCACGTCGGCCCGTGCTTTATCGGATTCCATGCCGTGCTGAGATCTGCGCCTAACGAAGAACGCGATGCTAGTGATCAACACGGACTGCAGCCAACGTCAAACAAAGACGCTGCTGCGCGGCTAGCCTGCCAGGGTCTGCGGCCGGGACCACGCGGCAGCCCAGCTGCATGCCAGCATCGACACCGTCTCGCTCCGATCGAGCCACCGCCCGGCTGCCCCCTCCCCCGACTCCGGCGGCCCGTGCACGGCTGCGCTCTGACGGGGGCGGGGGAGGGGGAGGGGGGCTGCAGCACGCCACGGCAAGGTCACGGGGCCACGTCCAGCCGGCTGCGGTCGGTCGCCGCGAGTCGCGCCGCTTGACTGACGATCACGGGGCGAGGCGAGGAGCGCGCCGAGCAGGGCGGTGAGGGCGCCGCAGCTTTGGAGGGCGCCGAGCGAGGGCGCCGAGGCTCAGTCGACGGCGCCGAGCAGGGCGGTGAGGGCGCCGGAGCTTGTAGGAGGGCGCCGAGCAAGGTGGTGATGGCGCCGTAGTTTGGAGGAGCGCGCCGAGTGGGGCGGCGAGGGCGCCGCGGCTCAGGGAGGGCGTCTGGCAAGGTGCTGAGGGCGCCGCGGTTTGGAGGAGCGCGCCGAGCAGGGCGGTGAGGGCTCCGCGGCTCGGACGAGGGCGCCAGGGAAGGGTACCGCGGCTCAGGCGAGGGCGCCGAGCAGGGCACCGGGCATGGCGACACGGTTCGCTCCAACGCCGCGCCAGCAAAAACAGCGTCGAACGGTACATTCCAAGTGGCTGCATGCACAAAACATGACACCAAAAAGGCATCAGCAGCAAACAAGGGTGTGATCAGTTGACTTGTGATAGCGGTACCGCTGATATGGCGGGCAGCGGTCCCATAAAGCCGAGTTGCCGCCAGGTTGGCAGACGTCTGGTTTGCAGAAGGCTAATTAATACTAGTAGCGAAGTGTTGATTTAGTATTTCATAACTTAATTCTCACAGCCATCACCGCGCGATTTATCACAGGCACGCAACGGATGGAAATAACGATACATTGCCGAAATACTCCCAGCAAGAATATTACGCCTTCGGATCATAATACAGCGATACAACACACGCAACGAGATACCCGCAGATGATTCAAGTGATTAAATTCACACGTTGTATCAGCTGACCATTAGGCCATACTAATGAACGGCAAATCATGTGCTAGCGCATCTAGCGGTGAATACGTGCCACATCCATTTACTGCCCATGCATATTCCCTGGAGAATGACGAGATACCCCGATTTGTCGTTAACTCCCGAGCCCCAAATCCTAACCGATCCCCGACACTAACGGCTCCGCAGCCCGCGGTCCGCTGGCTCCGCCGAATATTAAATAGCCCCCCCCCCGCGGTGTGAGGCCGGCGACAGAGTTGACTTCATGAGCTGCAGGGGAGCGACCCAGCACGACATCGTCAGTGTATGAGTATCGATCTGCCCTCCACCGCCGATGCCAGCCTCACCACCAGTCTGACTCCGGTCCGCAAGTGACCTGTCAGTCAGCTTGACCCTGGTCGCTATCCGCCGCTGACCTGTACCTGCTGCTTACCTGAGCCCGCGGTGGCGGCACGACATTAGTGCGATGGCTAAAACTCCTACCGACAGGAGGGCCACGACATCAGTTTTACGTGACACTACTTCTACTGCAACGACTTATACACATGAGTGCTACGCGACAAACTTATACTGCAAAAACTTGAACTCGTCATTACTTACACAGTCTTAACTCATGCGCAGTATCACGTCTACTGCAAAAACTCATACACGACATGAGTACTACACGACAAAACTTATACTGCAAAAAGATATACCAGTCATTACTTCTACAGCAAGGACCTGAATACCAGTCATGCGGTAGTAATAATGTCGCGTATTTCAAGTATTTGCAGTAGAAGCTATGCCGTGCATAAGCAGTGGTTGTTAATGTTTTTGCAGCAGAAGTAATGATGAGTAGAAGTAATGACGATTTTTAAGGAAAAGTTTCGTCGTGCAGCACTGATGACGCGCGTAGTTTTTGCAACAAAGTAACGTCGTGTGTAAGTAATGACTGTACAAACGATTGCAGCAGGAGTAATGACGGACGTACGTGTTTGTAGACTAACGTTTGTCACGCAGCACTTTTGTCGTGCATGTGTATTGGTAGTAGAACTAATGTCGTAGTATTCCTGTCGGCAGGGGTTTTGTTGCAGCATTAATGTCGTGGAGCCACCAGCTACCGACTTCGACCTGGCGCTGACCCCGACACACCACCGACCTTTAGCCCACACTCACCTTGACCGAGGGGAACGGAAACGGCATGAGGTGCGTCTTGAGCGGCGTCACTGGCGCCGCTAGCGGCACCCGCATCTCCTGCAGGATCGTCTCCAGGCCGGGCGCGCCCCTCTGCGGCAGAGAAAACGGTCAGAGATGCGGCAGGGGACGGTCAGAGATGCGGCAGAGAAAACGGTCAGAGATGCAGCAGGGGACGGTCAGAGATGCGGCAGGGGACGGTCCGAGATGCGGCAGGAAAAACGGTCAGAGATGCGGCTGGGGACGGTCAGAGATGCGACAGGGAAAACGGTCAGAGATGCAGCAGGGGACGGTTAGAGATGCGGCAGGGGACGGTCAGAGATGCGGCAGGAAAAACGGTCAGAGATGCGGCAGGGGACGGTCAGAGATGCGACAGGGAAAACGGTCAGAGATGCGGCTGGGGACGGTCAGAGAGATGGAAGGGAACAGACAGAGGAGGAAGGGAGAATGGTAAGAAGGGGCGGCAGGAAATGGTCAGAGGGGGCGACAGGGAATGGTAAGAGGGGACGGCAGGGAACGATCAGAGAAGCGCAGCACTTACGTCCAAGCACTTATGAGAAGGCGGTAGGCAACGGTCAAAGGGCTGTCAGGGAACTGTCAAAGGGGCGGAAAGGAACGACCAGAGGAGGGGGGGGGGGCAGGGGACAGTCAGAGGGGCAGCAGGAGGCGATTAGAGCAGCGGCAGGGGACGGCCAGATAGACAGCTCGGGTGATGGCCTTGGGGACGAAATGCAGGCGTCAGTTAAGAAGTCCGCGGCGATGCCACGTGCCGATATGTAGGAGGGTGACCGGGGACCGAGGTGCCCAACAGGCCGACTGGCGATCACGGCCAGGAATACACCGGCGACCCGACATGGATCGGCATCACGTGTTTAACGATACACGTGCGAAGGGCACGTCTATCCACTGCTGAAATGGTAGCCCCAGAAACAAAGCACACGTCACAAGTATTGATTGGAGCTAGGCACGTCATCCGCAGCCGTATTGCCACGTCCACTACCAGCCCCTGTCACAACACTGATCCACACCCGGCAAAAGCATCCGTTCTCGGGCGGCCTGCCGGTCCGCCAGTACATCAGCCGCGGCGCACGAGGTCACCGACAACACCTGGGGTCGGCGCCCCGGGGCATCGACCGGCGCGGCGGCCGCCGCGGCAGGCCCGTCCCCTGCCCCACGGCTCGTGCCAGCGGTCCGCGGGCGGTCGCCGCGCGAGCGGCGGGGTCACGCTGGACCGTGCCGCGTCGGACCGTGCCGCCAAGTCACGGCGTGCCCTATCGTGCGATCTGGCGCGGCTGGACCGGCGGCGTGCTGTCCTCAGCTCGGAAGCAAAAACGGCCGAGTTCGGCGGGCAGCCGCCACCGGGCGCGCCACGGCGACCAGCGGCCCGCAGCAGGCCGGCAGCGGGCGCTCCTCAGAAGTGGATGGCGGCATCTGAGGAGTGTGGGAGTGCTCCGCGACAGTGCGGAGCCGTCTGAAGGGGTGTGGGGCGCTCCTCAGGAGCGCGTGTGCTCCTCTGGGGTGTGCAAGCGTGCCACAAGAGCGTGCAAGTGCTCCACAGGAGTACTGACGCACTCCAGCGGAGCAATGTGGATACGTAAACGCCCCTCCAAAGCCAGCCAAACACGCCAATAGCTACCGACAATCAGGCACTAGCCACTAGAGGTGGTGCTTCCTGTTGACACGACACATTTCTAACATTCGGCTCAGAGGAACTGCTCACATGCCACGCCTTGCAAAACAGATTTCAGAGATGTATTACCTGTCACGCCTTAGTTCGCGGTGTTCCTGCCGAGTACATGCAAGAATACTGCAGTAGCCATCCCGGGCAGCGCCTCAGTATTGATTTTCCACCAACACCCCTGCCCCTGCACCGCCTACAGACGTGTCTCGCCGCGCTCTGTGTGCATGCCACGCCAAAACCCGCTACTGCTCGATCCACTACGCGACGGCTGGCTCTCAAGACCGGCTGCAGGAATCTCGAAAACACAGGTGCCAGCCATGGGCAGGGATGGCGTGAGAGGAAAGCGCGGACGCCGATGTGAAAGGAGCAGATCAAGAGAGCCGTGTTTAAAGAGAGCCCAATCGGACTCTCCCCTTAATGTGACTGCAAGACTCGTCCGGGGCTTTGAAGGCGGCCGGTTGCTCATCTGACGCCTTCGGTCGGCAAAGGGGGCGCGTTTGAGCGCGGACGAGCGCCAAGTTGAGGGAGGTGGGGGAGGGGGGATTTACGACCCCAGCCATCGCCAAACGGCAGCCATCTGTTCTCGCCTCTATCGGAGGCCCATCGGACGGAGTTGGGGCCGGCTGCAGCCCAGCCCAGCTCAGCCGCGGCACACGTACTCTGCCTGCCCGGAGGCAGTGCTGGGGTCATAACAGCACGATCGCTGGCGGACAAGCATCAGTATCGAACATGCAGCAGCCGATCTGGGAATGCTAAATCACGACGTGAAAACAAAATCAACTTTTGGCCCAAAGGGAGAAGACGTAACACATTAAACGGAAAGCACTGTGCATGTTACAAGTCTGGACAGCGCAATAGCCTTAATGGGTCATCATAAATTGGTCTAATGCTACAGGTCGGTCATATGACGCCCTCCGTCCTGCCAAGAATCTTAGGATAATGTGCGTAGATTGCCACCTTTGCTCACTTATACAACAATCCAATATGGCAGGGCTCACCCGATGACGCTCTCAGAAGCCTCGCAGAACTGCACACGCTACACACAGTGTTCAAGTGTAGTGTTCTGCAGTGTTTATTAGCGCCGAATGACGCACATTGATTGCACCAGCAGCCTATGTGTCGCTGGTTGATCACGGCAGCTACAAGCACCCATATATTGGTTGCGCCTGCACCAGTCATGAACAGCGATGTTGACATCAGCTGTGCAGCCGCGTCAGCCGCACCGAAGAGCGCCCCTCCCCTCCAGCTCAGCTCTGCGGCGGCGGCCAGGCCCAACCCGGGCGCGCTACATCGCCAGATGCGCTCCGCAGCGTCACTGGCGGAGCTCGCCCGGCATTGCCGGCTGGTGGGGCGCCCACGAGCCCGCCGAGTGAGCCTCGTCCAAACACGGCCGATGACATCAGGCGGCTGGAGTCGGCCAGGCGCCGCCAGCCCGACCCAAAACAATCCGAGCCGCTCCAGCGAGGCGGCCCGGCACACCGCCACCCTCGGCGGGAGCCTGGCTCGGACGGAAGGCCGGGCTCGGATGTCTCCCGGCCTCTCCGGGCCGGGTCGGCCGCCGGCTCGTGCGCCCGCCCGGTCACCGCCAGGGCCGCGTCTCCGACCACGCCACGGAAACGGGACCGGAACCGGAGGCGCAAGTCCGCGCCGGAATCTGAGCGGAAACTAAGATTCATGTCGACGTCAGAGCGCGGTCGACGTCCTAATCGAGCCGGGTCACAATCGGAATCGGAATCGGTGTCCAAAAATCTGGTGCAGCCTCGGCGTCGACACACGGATGGTTCGCGACATCTCTCTGACGCCGCTGGCAGCCACTGAGAGCCGGCAGCCGGGACCTGACCGCCCTCTCCGCGACCGGACGGCGCACACAGTGGGCCGACCCCGAGCAGAGACGGCACCGTCAGCGCCTGGAGTCAGCAGTGGACAGCCCGGGCCGGCGGGCGGCGGACCCGGCAACCACTGCGGCTGCCGGGCGGCGGACCCGGCAGCTACCGCAGCTGCCGGGCCAACGGGACCAGCTAGTGACGGGATCGGCTGGTGACGGGACCGGCTGGTGACGGGACCGGTTGGTGACGGGACCGGTTGGTGACGGGACCGGCTGGTGACGGGACTGGCTGGTGACGGGACCGACTGGTGACGGGACCGGTTGGTGACGAGACCGGTTGGTGACGGGACCGGCTGGTGACGGGACTGGCTGGTGACGGGACCGGCTGGTGATGGGATCGGCTGGTGACGGGACTCCCCTCAGCCTTCAGACGAGCGTGGCCCTGGCAGCGACTGCTCCCGCCCGAACACGGCTCCCTCATCGACGTGCGGGTATCGGCGTCGGCTTATTACGTCCGAAGGACCCACGCGGGCATGCTTACTTGCGCTCATCGCTATCGACTCGGGTGCCAAACTGGACAACACGGTCGTGGAGGGAGCAGCCCGAAACTGGACAACACGATCAGAGAGGGAGCAGGCCCGAAACTGGACAAACACGGTCGGGGAGGGAGCAGCCCGAAACTGGACAACACGGTCGGGAAGGGAGCAGCCGGAAACTGGACAACACGGTCGGGGAGGGAGCAGCCCGAAACTGGACAACACGGTCAGGGAGGGAGCAGCCCGAAACTGGACAACACGGTCGGGAAGGGAGCAGCCCGAAACTGGACAACACGGTCGGGGAGGGAGCGGCCCGAAACATGGTATTTGGTAATCGTTAGATTTCGTAAATATCATGGCTTCCTCAAATGCTCGGCGGAGGCTATCCTGCTTGTCATGCATCACATGACATGCACGAATTCTACACCCCGGGACATGTGTGAGGCATGATTAGCATATCTCGGATCGGCGGCTCAAGGCTGCCGCAATCCGACGTTTGAGCGACCTGGTTCTGCGATCAGCCTTCCATGGCATAACATGGACCACCTGATCCCACGAGCCTTGTCTCGAGAGAAGCCCGCACTCAGGCTAGTTACCCCGCGCCATAACATGGACCACCGCCCCTCTGATCTCATGATCCTTGTCCCGAGAGAGGCCCAACCTCGGTCTGGTTACTCCGCGCCATAACATGGACCACCGCCCCTCTGATCTCATGATCCTCATCTCGAGAAAGGCCCGCCCTCAGGCTAGTTACCCCGCGCCATAACTGTCTCCCAATCGCTAACAATATCGGTGCCTGCCCGTGTGGTCTGATGCATGCCCTTCACGAGGTACACACTCTCGTGGCCAAAGCTGAACATTTGGTCTGGGCTCTGTGCTCGATCGGAGGCGTACACATGGGGATTTTGGCCAAAAACTCGAAGCTCCTAACTAGGCTGTGAAATTTAAGTTCGTGCAAATTTATGGCGCAGCTTTTCTCGTGCATAATGACACAATATGCTGCGCACAAATGTCTGCATAAATGTGTTTCGGTGTGAGACCGTATCGAATG